GCCTCTGCCATCAGGTCCGCAGGTAGTACCGCAACCGCACCTATGGGTTTCTGGAAATTTTGTTATCCAATTTATTCAACTGGAAATTTCGTCAGACTTCAATGAAACTCCACCTTTATCGTTAGGTCGGAAAATATGTTCAGTAGTTGCTTTTAGTAGTAGTAATGAACGATCATGACAGTATTGACTATCTCTGGATGAATCTTTATATTGAATCGAATACTTAAATGATTGTAATCAAACAAATTCGTTGTATTCAATGAATATGCGATTGTTCCTAATTTGTCTATAAAACTCAAAACTTTTCGCAATTCAGTTAATCAATAGTTGAGTTTTACCATTCTGGGGAGAGTTGAATCAAGCCGCAGATTGGTAGCACTTGGTGTTATTTCAGTGGAGGGCGGTGGTGGACGGGGAACGGGTATCAATAAAGTGTCAAAATGTGATTCTTCCTTGGTCATGTGTCGTTGTTCGGTTCGTGAATAGAACTCTACAGAATCATCGTTAAACTCCTCTGACTGTCCCGCTTCGAATGCCGTATTCCGCTCTTGTTCAATATAACTGTCTGAAATGTTCCACGGATTTAATTTGATTGATCTCATTAAGAGTTAACTGCCTCCTCATTGAACACTCACTCGCTACCATATTTTGGAGTTATAACCGCTGAAATTATCACAGATTGGCGGCTGATATCCTTCAAGTGCCTGCCTATCATTAAATTTCTCAACAACCGAGAAATCGCATAAGCGGATAAAGGATGTATGACTTCCACAGAATTCAACTTTATTTTATTGCTTTAGAGATCAGCATTTTATGAGTTTGAAAATTTTCAAACGCATAATCGATATGTTCACATATTCATATTTATGAGCGCAAAAAAACTGAGACGAGATTGTAAATGAGGATATCTAAATGCTTTGGATGAATGCGAATATGTTTAAAGGCGATTTGATTATATGTATGTCGTTCGCTGTATGTGGCAGACCTTTTGACTGCTCATTACAACTGCAATTTCATGCGGAATTGCAGTTTTTGCTCTTAGGTAACGAATCATAAAATTTGCTCTCATTTGTGCTCATCTAAGTGAGAGCTTTTCCACTCGCACTCCATTTCGTTTCAATATATCGTTTGCATCTTTAGTTCACCGTTTCAACTAATCGTAAGGTTGTTGGTAATTTGTATATTATTGTTGATTAGGAACATGAAAATTCTGAAAGTCANTCTAACAGAAGAAAATAGCATTGGTTTTCTGGTTTCACGAAAACTGCGGGAAATTCGTTGCCGGTAATACAGAATCAAGCGAGATTCTCGGTGCTAATGCTTGCTATAGGAATAATCGCACTGATATATTAGTAGGAAATAGAGGTAATTTAAGGTAGTGGTAACCAACCAGTGAATATTGGTGCACCAGCGACCATAGCCGTAGTGGTGTCAGCAAGCAGTTCAGTTTCTCCTTCTTCCGGCTCGATTCGATCAGTTTTCAATATGTCTCTCGCCTCTGATTCACGTTCACATTTCTCCAATGCTTCAGTCACTTGTTCAAGAAACGCCTTCTGCTCTGTTTCAAGTTTTTTCTTGATTGACTCCTCTTCTGATTGTTTAGATAGTCGTTGCCATGTGAAAAGATTACCGATGGAACCAAAAATAGAATATATGCCATCTCTGGTATACGTCAACGCAGTGAGTGTGTATTCGTACGGGACCGTGATAAGATATTTTGACGATTCGGATATTTTGGTGATGATAGTTGAGGATTTTGCTTGCTGCTTTTGTTGTTGTTGTTGTTGTTGTTCGTGGTGATGATGTTCTTTTGCGGTGCGATGTGAACATCCGGTTTTGCCCTTGNTTGTTGTTGTTGTTGTTCGTGGTGATGATGTTCTTTTGCGGTGCGATGTGAACATCCGGTTTTGCCCTTGAAGTTGACGGTTATTTTATAGGAGGAGGATGACTGTTCGGTGTCGTGCAAAGTAGTCGTTTCGCCGCTTGTAGTCGTATTTGTTCTTCTCTGGGTGGTAATACTTTCACCAGCCAAATTGCTCGTGTCCGCAGGCTTATAATCACCATTGTTCAGTATTGCATCACTATGAAGGCAGCATACTGGTCTTTTGTTATCCTCACTTCTTTTGCATTTTTGTTCACCATTTTTCTGCCATTCCGGTTTGCCTCTGCAACTACGAGATTATTCGCAAATGACTAAATGAGTTATTCATTAACGGCTGTGTATGAGGTTACTTCCTGCAAACGCATAGGAAAAGTAATTTGGGAAGTTTTAAAACGTGAGACAGCAAACGAAGTTTTAAACAGCGATAAGTTGTAAACGATCAATCGTTCAAATACAACTGATAACCAATCAATGTCAGCTTTTAATATATTGCACTGTCATCATTATCATTGTAGCAGTTATTT